GGCTTGCGCCGTGGAGCCGGTGCTTGGAAAAAGGGGGGGGGGGGTGGTAAGAGAAGGAGAGAGAGAGGTGTGACCCTAGGTCTGTCAGTCTGGGGTGGGGACAAAGTAGGTTTGCCTTAGGTTGAAATTGGGAAAGAGCTGGTCTGTTCCTCTGTGAGTGCTCCTCAAGCCCGGTGCTCCGGGACAGGACCGGAAAGTACTGTGCATTTCTGCCAGAGGGAACGTTCTGCAGCGGGTCGGAGGGCACAGGAGCCCTCCGGTGTCCGAGATGCGAAGGCAGAGAGCGTCCTTGTCCATAGGGGGCGGAGAGGGCAGCCTCCTGTCTACCACAAGGCCACTGGTTTGTCCGATACGTAGCGCACAGATGGTGAGGAATAGGGCGGGAGGTCTGTCCAGAAGGGGCAGCTTGCAGGAGGCAGCCGGCGGCGCCTGAACGTGGGACCGCAGCTGGCGCACATCTGTGCGCAGAGCCTGTCGGGGCATCTCCGCGGCTGGCAGAGTGCAGGCGTCAACTAGCGGTGGATCTCGGAACTGCTCCTCCTCCGGCGGCCCCGGCGACCTCCTACGTCTACAACCCAGGTTCCCTGGTTCTGGTGCCCACTGGCAGCGAGCGCCTTCCTTAGGGCTGGAGCCATGACGGGTCCTATGCCAGGTGCCAAAATCCACAGGAGTCCTATTCTCAGGAAACTCATTTGTAAACCAGCCGTAGGATGAGAGGGAGAAATCAGGCGGAGAGACAAGTTAAGGGCATGGCTGCAAACCAAAACCATTCGACAAATCGGAGTTACGAACCCCAGAGGCAGCGGGTCCTGGCCCCAAAGCCGCTCCAGGGCAGTGCGGCGTCGCTCGTCCTCCCTGGCCCCGGGCCCTACCTGGCAGGAAGCTCCCAGAGGTTGGATGCGCCAAGGTCCCGGTTCCTCACTTTCTTCTACTTCTGCGGCTAGTGTCAGCGCTCACGTGATCGAGCGGGCCTGAGCCCCGGCGATCTGCAACTCCGACGTGTAGGCTCTATAAAAAGGTCCAGTGATGGACCTTCGTCGTCCCTGTTCTCTAAATGGCCCGAGGGACTGACGTGAGGCTCCGACAGGGGTGGGGATCAGCTCTCCAGGTGGTCGAGGTTGGGCCAGAGCCGGTCCTCCCTGGAGCGGACGCAGGGCTTGATTTCGTTTGGCAACGACGAAATGGCGCGCGAGGGGCCAGGGTCAGATCCAGGGCGAGATCTTGCAGCCACCTTCAGATCCTATGCTTCTTTGCTCCCGAGGCTTGGAATCGGTCGTTTTGCACCTGTCGAGTGCCGGAAACAACGAATATCCAACCCGATCTGCAAAACGGCAGGGAGGCTCTGCACGCGTTCGTTCCCCAGACTCCAGGGAGCGCATCTGTGGCGATAATCCCGTGTGAATGGCGGCTTGATCTTTCCAGTTCCCCACCTCGATGTAGCCTGTCCCTACGCCCGCTCGCCCGGCCTAGGAGGCGGGAGAGGGATTGTTTGCCTGCTTGCCGCTGGGGAATAGTTGGGCCACGCGGCCGGGAGTGGGAGCGAGGACCAGGGCCGGCGAGCAGTGCCTCGTCAGAGCTGTCTTTGGTCCCCGCCCGCGTGGCCCAAGCGCACCGCCCGGGAAGAGGTGGGCGTGGACCCGCGGGGGCCAGTTTGCATCCACATGGTGGATGAAAATTCCCTCCTTTGGAAGAAGGGGCCCTTAGCTTTGCAGCCATTCCTGCGTTCTCTGCACAGTTTTCCTCTCACCAGGGACTCGCGTCCTCTTCCACGATGCAGGACAGTGTTTACATGCGCACGGGGTCGGCGAGGGGCGGGGGTAAACACTCGCGTTTTTCAGGCCCCACCGCGTTTTTCGAAGACCCTCAGGCCGCCACAACGAAGAACGACGCAGCGAGGCCTGCGCGATGCTGAAAGTTATTTTGAAGGGAGAGCAGAGAGGAATGGGGTTACTCGCCCCCAAGCCGATGAGGGCGCATAAGGGATACCCTTCCCTCTGTCTCCAGATTGGCACCGGGGCCACCGGGGCCGGGAGGAAAGTGGCGCAGAGCTGGGAGCTGCAGAGGCCTCTGGCTCGCGCGTAATCTCGTATGCGGTGGAGGCTCTTGGGTCAAAATAATTTGCGGGACAGGTAGCGGCAGTGAGAAGCCACTTTGTGGCAGCTCCCCGCTGGAGGTCACCGGCCTTGAGGCCCCAGCGGCCCTCAGCTGAGAGTGCAAGCTTCACAGGCCGAAAGCAGCTGGAGTGGAGAGGCCTGGCTGCGGGCGGCCGGGAAGGGCGACAGAAGAGCAGCTGCAGCCCCCGAGTCAGAAGGCGGCTGCAAATGAGCCTCTGTAGGGACTAGACGTTTTAAACAAATTCTTAGCCTCGGCTCCGGCTCCCCAGAACTCTCAAGGAGCCCCGGGCCGTCGCGCTGGGGGCCCCCCAACCCCGGGCGTCCTCCGCAGGGCGGAGCCTTCCGCCCCTCCCCGTTGGGCGGCCTTCTGCGGTCCCCGTTCCTCCCCAGCGAGCGCTGCCGAGGTGCCCGCGATGGGGGCTCCGATTGGCTGCACGACGCGTCGCTCGGGCCGGCCCCGCCCCCGCGGGCCCCGGGGTACTAACCCCTCGCGGGCGGTTTCGGCACCGCCACTTGATTCTCGAGGATTTGCTCTGGGGCTGCGGCTGCGGAGTCGGTGGGGAGGCCGCTAGCGGGCTGCGGGGGCGGGAGGCGGCGGCGGTGGCTGCACAGCCCGCGCGGGCCCCGCCACGGCCAAGACAACCGGGATCGCCGCGAGGGCGGCCACACGCGGGCCGCTCGCCCAGGATGCGGGACTAGCGGACAGGCTGCGCGGCCGTCGGGGCAGCGAGGCCTCGCGGCTGGCTGGCCCAGGCGAGGCGTCCCCGGGCGCCGCCCCCTGCGCCCTGAGGCCTCGGCCCGGCTGCTTCTGCTTTCCCGATTCTCGCGGCAGCGGCTGCCGAGGAGGCGCCCGCGCCAGCCGCCCCCGGGGGAGCCGCGCCGCCGCCGCCCGCCCGGTGCCCTGACGGCCGCTGTTATGCGTATTCCTGTAGACCCGAGCACCAGCCGCCGCTTCACACCTCCCTCCACGGCCTTCCCCTGCGGCGGCGGCGGCGGCGGCGGCGGCGGCAAGATGGGCGAGAACAGCGGCGCGCTGGGCGCGCAGGCGGCCGTGGGGCCCGGCGGGCGCACCCGACCCGAGGTGCGCTCGATGGTGGACGTGCTGGCGGACCACGCGGGCGAACTCGTGCGCACCGACAGCCCCAACTTCCTCTGCTCCGTGCTGCCCTCGCACTGGCGCTGTAACAAGACGCTGCCCGTCGCCTTCAAGGTGAGTGCGGGGCCCCGGGCGGGAGAACACCGGCCCTGCGCCTTCGGGCGCTCCGGCCGGGGACTTCGGCGTTCCTTCTTGGATGCACCCGACACGGACTTTTAGAGGATTTGGTCCCTCCACCCTTGGGGAGCCCTGCGGAGAGATGTTGATGCGGAAACGGGCGGATGGGGCTTCGCTCTTCCCCAGCCCGGATCCCTCGGACACAGCCCTGCGGGCAGCGCGGCAGAGGAGCCCCGGGACCAGGGCGAGGACACCGGAGGCGGGGTGCGGAGGGTGGAGAGGGCCTACCCTCCTCTCAGAGGAGCAGCACCCCTCCTTCTGCACTGCTTCAGAAACACTTCCTGCTCACACCGTCTACTCCCGGCTTCTGAAATTTTACACCGGGAGGCTCTAGGCCGGGATCGGGGGCCTAAACGAACCCTAAACGGTTGCGGCCGGGATCCCGAATGTCAGGCAGAGACTGGGGGCGCTCCCACCCCTGGCAACCCCCAGTCATTCAGAGGAGTTTTTTCTCTTTGCTGGGGAGTAGGCGACTGTTTCGTTTTCATTTTTTTAAGGGGGCAGCGAGATGAAACGAAAACGCCTTGGTTTTCCCCTAAACCTCTCACAGCTGCCGTGAGAAAGGGCAGGAAGGGCCAGCGGCTGGGGGTGGCGGGTGCCTGAGGTGGCTGGAAACAGCGGCTCCTGGCAGCTGAGGCCGTCCTTGGTCCCATTAAGACGACTCCAAATTGGAAAAAGGGATGAGTGGCTCTTTGAGGTCTCCCGGGTGACATCTTAAAATACCAGTGGGGAAAATCTCCCGGGGAGAAGGGGGAGGGGGAAGCCCGTGTGACTTTAATCCTCAGATCGGAGGTTTTACTGTCACTTGGAGCTTAAAAGGAATCTTTGAAATTAAAAGAAGACAGGATGTTGACAGGAAATCTGGCCTTTTTAATCAGACCCCAAACATTTTCTCCTTGAAATTTTTACCATCTGGATCCCTAGTCCCTGCACGCGGTGGCCACGTTTAGATGGCTGTGACTGCCTTTGCAGTCTGATTCCTTTTCAAAAGGCATCTGCCTCCCCATGCTCCTTGGGATGGGGGCGTGGGGGAGACTGTATTAGGGGGGCATCTCCACCCCCATCCTGCAATTCCCAGCAGGTGCATCCTCCTGCTGTCAAAAGCCCCTCTCTCACTTTAAAGGGGTTTTCTGGACAACCCCTCTGAAAACACCAGTTTGTTTTGCATTTTGCTTTTTCCCTGCAAAACGAATTCAGGCTCTGCAGAGGCAGATAAACTGGGCCTGGGCTGCATTTCAGGGCCAAATTTTGTACCCCAAAGGGCTCTGGCATTAATTGAATGTGGGGAGCAGTCCCGTTATTATTGATGATATTATTTGCATTTAGAGACTTGGTCGCTAGGAGCGTGTTGATTCCTCTTTTGCTCAAGCCGAGGGGAAGAGAGGAACTGCACCCCACAACATACTGCCTGCGCTCATTCACTTAGATTAAATTTCATTGAAAGGATAAATTGTTCAGGACGTGACTTAACCAGTTGATCTAGGATTTGGGTGTGGAAGGTAGAGCTTTTGTCCTTTGATTTTTGTTGTATTGGGGGGCAGGTCGCTATTGTTTTTAAACCTCTTCTCCAACCCGCATTTGAAAAATCTGCAGTGCGCCTGGGACCTAGGGGAGCTGCCTGCCCAGCTCCTCCCCTTCTTTCCTTGGCCTCCCCTACCTTCCTAAGCTGTCCCCCTGCCCCCATGCCCTCAGGTGGTGGCTCTGGGGGACGTGCCAGATGGAACGGTGGTGACGGTGATGGCGGGCAACGATGAGAACTACTCCGCTGAGCTGCGCAACGCCTCGGCCGTCATGAAGAATCAGGTGGCCAGGTTCAACGACCTTCGCTTCGTGGGCCGCAGTGGGCGAGGTGAGCGGGAGGGAGACCGCGCCAGCCCAACTTTGGCAATGGCAAAGGCGGGGAGAAGGAAGCTGAGAGCGAGGCCTTGGGGTACCTGTGGCAGCCCCAGAAACAGGTCTTCGGGGCCAGCTCTGTGGAAAACAGCGGTTTGGAACCCCTTAGGGTGTTACAGACCCTTTTGAGGATGTGAAGAATGTTAGGGTCTTTTGCCGGAAAAGACACAACTTTCTTCCCATTTCTGGGGTTTACTAACTTGTGAAGTCTTCCACACGTCCCCTCTTTCCCGGTTGTCTCACAAAAGATGCTGGGAGAAGATAGTAGACTGTCACCGTCTTCAAAATGGGGCCTCGTCAGTCTTTTTTGGCAGGATGCTTCGAGGCTGATTTAGACAAATCCTTGGTCTTTAGGTCCCCAGCGCCCCAGCCACTCTCCCCACTGGGGTGGAATCTCCCCCGCACTTTGAGGCTGCCTCTCCCCAGCTGCGGTCTCCTGAAGCCACAGTTTCACCAGTTCTTCAAGCCTTAAGGTGGTTTAGAAAAGAAACGAATGCAGTGCAGGACGCTGAATGTTGGAAAGCAGAGCTTGAAGGCTGCCGTCTCCCACCCTAGAATCATGGCTGGTGTGCCACCCTGCCTGTTTGATCTTCCTCAGGCAATATGAAGGAAGGCAGGACCAGACGCCGCTGTGGCTGCTGCCAGGGGCTGTTGAGTGGGAGGCTGCTGGGACCTGAAACCCATCATCACTTCTGGGTGGAGAAGTTCTAGAACCCCTGCCGGGGTGAAATGGAGACTTGAGGGCTCGCTGGCCCTTTAAGACCAGCCTGCCGAAAAGGGGGGAGTGTCCTTCCCAAGCACCAGCCGGCCCCTCCCGCTTAAGAAAGTAAGCTAGGTTCCCTCTGCTTCCAGTTGCGACAGAGGCTGAGGCAGAATGGTACTTTTCATCACCAATAAACAAGACCTGCTTAAGGTTTTAGTTCCCTCTGAGCCACCAGTCCTGCTCGGAAAAGGGCATCTGGGCACCATTTTTTCCTCTCCAGACGCTCAGTGTATACATACAAATGTCAAACATATTTTGACTTTTCAGCATTAATTAAAACCAGGGCATTATTTGCATGTAATAACTGTTTACTTGTTACTTTTTATGAAACTGAAATAGTTTACATTCTTTCAAACATTTCCTGTTCCTGTTGGCTCCCTTCCCCACGCCCAGATTTCTTTCAGACGTTGCCCTTAACTGGTTGCAGGTTGATGGATGGAAAATGTTTGCTTTTATGAATTAAGCTTTCATTGCTGCTCCTAATTAGTCTTCAAGCCCCTTTTGTCATCCCCAATCTCTCGAGCCTTTTGCAACTTAATCCCAGCCCCAGCCCTGAGTGGAGAGTCGCTCGCCACTGGTTGGTGGTAGCTTGCTTGGATGCAGTTGGACCGCGGGGTGGTGGCCAGGTCCACAGGCCCAGATGGCGGTGGCGAGGGAGGCCCCCTACAGCTGCAGCAGAAGGGGAGGTCGGTCTTGGGAGCCCAGTAAAGCACCTACACCCTCTTCTGGGAGGTGAACTCCAGAGAGCAAAGAGACGGTGATTTTCTGTGTTACTGAGACCCTGCCTGGCCCTTCTGCTGCTGAAAACGATTTCTTTGTGGTATTTATACCCACAGACCCGCACCCACCCTGCAAGGCCCACCGGGAGGGAGATAGGTTTCCAAAGCATTGTGTAGCAGGATGTTCCTGGAGCAGGCAAGGCTGAGGCTGGGGTCATGGCTCTGGGAGATGCAGGAGGCTGGGTTTATGAGACATCCTCACAGCCATTTTCTTGCCAATCTCAGTGGTCCTGGGAGGCAGAAGAGGCCTGAGTGGGCGCTCACATGCCCGTGGAACTCGACGGGACTTTCAGACCTTGGAAGCTCATGGTCTTCAACAGCCTGGGCTCTACAACCGGCCGACCTGGATTTCAGTCCCAGCTCTGCCAGTGACTTGCTGGATGATATTGGGCAAATGGCTTAACCTCTCTGTGTCTCCGTTTCATCGTCTGTAACATGGGGATAATAATGTTACCTACCTCGTGGGGTTTTTGTGAGCATTAAGGAGACGGGTACTAGCATATCAGCTGGCACATGCTGAGAGCTGGATACAGGTCAGAGATTTTGTTACTTCAAATGCCTGGGACTGGTGGAGATCTTTGCAGTCCCTTTGAATGGTGACAGTCACTGATTTTCTGATTATGGTGTGGTTTGGGCGGGGGTGGGGGGAACCCAGAAAGTGTGAAGTGTCGAGTGGGAGAAGTGGAGGCGGCTGGCAGTGAGATAGGAGGACACAGGGGTCCTGTGGCATGCAGCTCCGCATCTGCTGTGCCCCTCCTGCCCACTGGGAAATTCCCTCTGAGGAACAGATCGGTGGTTGACACAGACAGTTTGGGCCACTTTAGGAGGCAGGACAGGCTGGGGTTTTGGACTCAGAGCCTTTCCCTGGCTCTCTGACTTCTGCGAGAACTAACAAGCCAGATGGAAACTTCTGCTTGTTTCCTTGCATTTTATTCCTTGAATCTGTCTTAATTCCAAGAAGATAGCTTTCTGTACAAGGCATACACACAATACCACCCCAGAGCGCTCACGATAAGCCTGAAGGTGTAAACCAAGAGAAGGAAGGGAAGGAAACCAAGTCATTCTCCTGCAGTGATTAGGGCCAAGGTCCCCGCCCTGCCGGACTCAGTGCCCCTTCTTACAACAGATTTTTGCAGCGCGCCCCCTACCATCCTACAATTGAAACACGCAAGATAACTTAATCTATCCACCTATGTACATTTTCAAAATCTATATAATTCCATAGCTATAATGGAGAGAAAAAGGAAAAGTAGCTTATAATAATGTATCTATTTGAATATGTAAATGTTGGGGCGAGATGACAGACACTGTGAGGTGGATGGGTGTTTGCACCTCTAGCCAAAGCCCCGTGACCCCTGCGGCTGGCCTGACAGGCCAGGTATACATGACTGAAAGTCTGAACCGTGGCACTGCCGTCAATGACATGATTCGCTGAAGCTGTGAGCAATTCTTGGCAAAATTCTGAGCAAAATTTTTTTAAAAAAGAATTGTCTTCCCTCCCAGAAAATTCAGTACATATCAAAAGAGTGTAAAAACTTTTTCCTTGTTTTATGTAAAACTGAGTTAGACTCATGGCTCAGAGAATCTACATAAGCAAGTTTTTCCCACACGGGAAGAGTGAATAGTTGATTGCCCTGTGCAGTGCTAGACATTTGCATCCCCCCCCCCCACCTTCCACGTCCCACCTCTTGAAGACCACGCAGCACACATCCCCAGAATGCTGTCTAGGATGGGGCCACTGGCCTAGGTGAAGATGAAAACAACATGACTTCCTGAACTGTCATGACCTGGTGAAAAAGAAACCAAAGTGTATGGAGACAGATTTGGGAACCAACGTGTAGGTGCAGGCTTAGGGGGACCACTGGTGGGAGAGGAGTGGATGCCTTCCTGGTCGACACTGAACAAATCCAGAGGCCCCCAGAGATGTCCTCTCCCGCTGTCCATGAGGCCCCAGTGAGTGGGGCTTGTCCCACAGGAACCCAGGCAAAGAGAGACAGGGACTTGCCCAAGGGCCCACTGCCAGACCCCGCTGTGTCTGGTGCTCCATCCAGGGACCCAGGTCCTGCGGGGACGCCTAGGGCCACTCTCAGCCCCAAGGAGCCGCTATTTACAGACGAAGACTTCTCCCCCTCCTACCAGGGCCGGTGGGAACACCTTGATTTGCAATTCCTGGGCTCCCGGCTGATTGCGAGTTTGCCCGGGGTTCCTGCACAGTTGTCCACCTCCTTTGTCCTCTCAGCTTCCTGCTCTAAGAGAGTGGAGAGGTGGGCGGGTAGGTTTGCCGCCAGGCGGAGAGAGAGGTGATGGGCGCTCAGGGAGACAGTTTTCCCCACCTGTGGTTCATGGGGCCCCTGCCTCTTGTGGCACCTGACACTTGCCCCTTCCTCCCTCTCCTGCTCCCAAGTGCCAGCCCCTCCCTTCCTCCCTCCCTGGTCTCTGTGGGTACCTGGGAGGGGTGGTGTCAGGCCTGGAAACTGGGAGGAAGCTGTTAAGGTGGGCTGGTGACCTCAGGGCTAGCCTGTGGTTTGCTGCCTGATGGGGTGGAGGCTCCTCACTCCCCAGGAGTAGGTGCTTAGGGTCGGTGTGGAGGGGCAGGCTCCAGTACATTCTAACCTTCCTGGGCTCTCTGCCTGGATACTGTGTGACCTGGTTAACTCATTGCCCCTCTGTGAGTCTCAGTTTTCTCATCTGTAAAATGGGAGCAGTAACCTCTGCCCTTAATTCATTTAACAAACATTTATTGAGCACCTACTATATGCCAGATGCTGTCCTAGGGGACACAGCAGTCAACAAGACAAAAGTTCTGGCCCCCAGGGAGCTTATAATCTAGTAAAGGGAGACAAAATAAATAAGTAGGTAGATTATTAGAAGTAATAAGCATTAGGAGGAAACTCAAGCAGATCGAGTGGGAGTGGGAAGGTCTGTGATGCTTCAGAGTGAGCTTCTTAACCTTTCATCACCCCATGGACCCCTTTGACAGTCTCAGAATAGTGCTTTTTAAATAATGAAATAAAATACAAAGGCTGGCAGTGAAAACCAATTATATTAAAACATAGCAAAACGTTTTTAAAAATTGTGATAAATGCACTGCCTTGTTAGCTTGTTAAAGAACAAGATCTAGCAACGGGTTTGATGACGACCGTGACTTTGAAGTTGTGATGAGCATGAAAGATATTTAAAGAAATCTGCAACGTCTGTAATGTGATATGTAAATATTTGTGACGTCTGTTGGTGACAAGGTCACAGGGACTGCTGTAATGCCTCTGTGGTTTGTTGTCTACGTTCATACTTAAGAGAGATGCTAAATTTCAGCTAGAGGCTAGGGATAATACAGTTGTCATTTTTTTCTTTTCCTGTCCCAGTTTCCGAGCCCGCTCAATTCTAAGAGGGATGCCAAGTTAAAAATGCCTCCTTTAGATAAAGTGACCGGGGAGGGCCTCACTGGAAAGGTGACTTTTCAGTGATGACCTGAAGGAAGAAAGGTGAGAAATAGAGCACTCCAGGGAGCTGGCAAGTGCGGGGCACAGGGGCCCATCCAGCCCTGGGCTGTCAACCTCAACTACCCATCGGCTTGGCACCCTGCGGTACCAAGGAGGTGATGGAAGGGTCAGAGTCCCAGGGACCCCTGGAGAGGGCCTGACTCGTTGGGGGAAGGATCCAGGAGGGAAAAGACCTCAGAGTGACGGGAAGCAGTAGGGGGGAAGGAGGGTCCCGGGAGGGGTGGGGCCTGGAGCGGGAGGCCTCTGCACTTCCTGTTTCCAGAAAGCATGGAAAGCGCCCATGTGGTCTGAGTGAGGGCCAGGTGGGTGTGTGGCCCAGAGCTCCAGGTCAGGAGTGCGTTGCATTTCCACCCCTGCCTCCAGCTGGCAGCTCTGGCAAATCCCTCCAAAGAGGCCCCACTCTTCCCCAGTTCGAGTCACACCTCAACTTAAACCCCTTCTGTCCCCCTACCCCCCTACATCCCCCCAGTCTCAGAAGCCCTTGGGTTCCTGGGTGTGGCCCCGGGAGCCTGGCTGGTTTTCTTTTGTGCTGGGTTGTCCTCTTTCTGAGGCTGGAGTTTTCCCTCCATCACCGGATCAACAAGTAGCAGCCATGCTAAGCTATCGTTTCTCACACCCCACCCCACCCCAAAGCTTTCCTCTCCTACTTGTGAAGTGGGAATATGGAATCAGGCCTGCCTGCCCTGGAGAGGTGTGGGGAGGATGAGGACAGCCCTGGGGGGACACAGGTGCACAGGGCCATCAGGCCCTGCCCTCAGGGAGTCCCCAGGCCTGTAACTGGGGACCAGAGATAGGGGTGCTCGGAGGCAGAGCAGGAGGAGGCCAATTTGACTGGAGGATCAGCGAAGCTCCCCCCACACCCCTCCCCAGCCTCACACACATGGAGGCTTTGATTCTGGTAGAGAACTGGGCGGGAGAGGGGGCTCTCACTTCAGTAAAGGTGCTGGGAAAATTGGGGTGCCCTTTGAAGAAAAACCCACCCAGTAAACCCCCAGAAGAATCAAAGAATTCAACGTGGAAGGTAGAGAGGATGCTGTTTATTGAAGGTAACCTTTCTAAACACAAAATGACAGGAGAAATCACGAGCAAGAGGTAGAACTGAAAATGCAAATCAGCTTGGTGTCAGAAAGCGAAATGTAAAGGCTGGTGAAGTGGGAAACGGACGCCACAAACAGGACAAGGAAAGTGTTAACAAGCGTGATAGAGTGACTTTTCCTTAAGGCATTGAAACCTTAATAGAAAAGTATGAAAGATCATGAAGCAATGATTTGTGTTGGATTAGGACAGATGATAAACATATAAAAATTTTCAGTCTCACTGGTGATAGAACAAAGGCGACAAAGTCAAGAGTGTTTAAGAGATCTTTCCACCTTGATAGATGAGGTCATGAAGATGCTGACAGCATGACGATAGACTCGGGCCCACACCAATCATGACGATCCTCTCCAGAGAGCCATCTCACCAGAGAGATTAATGCCCCTGAATCCATCCCAACCCTCTGACGCGATGAAATCACTCACCGCTTCTTGGAATCTATTCTAAAGAAATAAGCAGAGATGTAGACAAAGATTTTTATAAACAGAAGGCCATTTTCGTTTTATTTTAAATGGTAAAAGAAAAATGATGATTTAAAAAGTTTTCTCCCCTCTCAGGAATTTTGAATGGAGACTTTGGAGCCAAGTGTGTATCTAAAAATAGAACAGAGCTCTGGAAATAACAGTTGTGTCTACAAATGAAATGTCTGCAGTTCCCAAATCAGTCCTTTTTCAGCCCCAGCTGCACACGCCAATAAGAAATTAGCAACAAGGTAACACCCAAGAATAAGGAGGTGGATAAGTAAAAGATGAGGCTTCCATGAGTTGAAATGTTTTGCAGCCACTAAAAATGAAGTTTATGAAGAATTTTTAATGACATAAGTGCTTATGATGTGATGTTAAGTGAAAAAAAAGAGGGTACGGAAATACTTATTTTAGTGTCCTTACAACTATGTAAAAACACACACTCGCCCAAAAAGGGTTGCAGGAAAGAACACCCAAATAAATGTTAATAGTGTTTATCTCTGGCTAGTGGAACTGTGGGTGATTTTTTCTTCCTTTTTATATGTTCTGTGTTCTCAAAGTCTTCTATAAAGATCACTAATTATTTTCATGAAAAAAAAATATTTACTCATCTGAGCTCCCCACCCCCAAATCGCAAGGGTCTCTAGGTAGAAGGAACAGCACAAACAAAGGCCAAGAAGCAGGGAGGAAGCAAGCCAGGGTGGCCAGAGCGTGGGGCAGGGGAATGTGACAAAGTTGGTGCCAGACCTTCCGGGGCCTTGAATGTCAACCCCAGCAGCTTGAATTTTACCCAGAACCCTATCTTCTGCCCAGGTTCAAAGTAGAGAGACCTGCTCCTTCTGGAAGATGAGGGCTTCAGGGTGTCGTGAATAGCTCCAGGTGCCAACCTCTTCTTTATTCCCCACTCCCCCCAGGGAAGAGTTTCACACTGACCATCACCGTGTTCACCAACCCCACGCAAGTGGCCACCTACCACCGAGCCATCAAGGTGACTGTGGATGGACCCCGGGAGCCCAGACGTAAGTGCCAGAGCCACTGAGCCCCCTGGTCGGGGAGGAGGGCCCAGCGGGGGAAGGGCAGTCGCCGAGGTCAGACAGATGGCACTGGATCCTGGGAGCTGTGGCGGATTGCAGTCCTCCGCTCCACACCCCCACCCGGACTGTGTGCCTGTGCTTAGCCCCGGGCTGTAGGAAGCCATTCTGGGAAGAGGAGATGACTGAATCAACTTGACCTGCCCTTGGTTCCCCGTACCCCAAGGGATGCCTGCCCACTGGGGGCCGGCTGGGGGAGTATGGATTTGCAACCTTTAAGGAAAGGAAAAGGATGGGTGTGTGGTGTGTGTGTGTGTGTGTGTGTGTGTGTCTGTGTGGTGTGTGTGTGTGTATGTGTGGTATGTGTGTGTGGTGTGTGTGATGTGTGTATGTGTGTGGTGTGTGTGTGGTGTGTGTGTCTGTGGTGTGTGTGTGTGGTGTATGTGTGGTGTGTGTGTGGTGTGTGTGTGGTGTGGGGTGTGTGTGTGGTGTGTGTGGTGTGTGTGATGTGTGTGTGTATGTGTGGTGTGTGTGGTGTGTGTGGTGTGTGTATGTGTGTGGTGTGTGATGTGTGTGTGTGGTGTGTGTGTGGTGTGTGTGATGTGTGTGGTGTGTGTGTCTGTGGTGTGTGGTATGTGTGTGTGTGGTGTGTGTGGTGTGTGGGGGTGGTGTCTGGTGTGTGTGTGTCTGTGGTGTGTGTGTGTGTGGTGTGGGGGTGGTGTCTGTGTGGTGTGTGTCTGTGGTGTGTGTGTGGTGTGTGTGCGGTCTGTGTGTGGTGTGTGTGTGGTGTGTGGGGGTGGTGTCTCTGTGGTGTGTGTGTGTCTGGTGTGTGTGTGGTGTGTGTGGGGG